AAAGAAGGGCTAAAGAGCTTGGGCTCAGGGTCAGGGTTAGGCTTAGGCTTAGGCTTAGGCTTAGGCTTAAGCTTAAGCTTAGGCTTTTAGGCTTAGGCTTAGGTTAGGCTTAGGTTAGGCTTAGGTTTAAGCGTAGGCTTAGGCTTAGGCTTAGGCTTAGGTTTAGGCTTAGGCTTAGGCTTAGGCTTAGGCTTAGGCTTAAGCTTAGGCTTTTAGGCTTAGGCTTTGGTTAGGCTTAGGTTAGGCTTAGCTTTAAGCGTAGGCTGAGGCTTAGGCTTAGGTTTAGGTTTAGGCTTAGGCTTAGGCTTAGGCTTAGGCTTAGGTTAGGCTTAGGCTTAGGCTTGGACTTAGGTTTAGGCTTAGGCTTAGAGCTAAGGTTCAAGGGCTAAATTTCAAAACCAAAGCTGTTTGTGCTAAAGAAATGTTTAAGTTAAGATCAGATGTTTTGGTATTAAAGGCACAAATTGATTACTGTAAAAGCTTTAATTATTGCATTTTGTTTTTAGGTTTTAAGGCTTAGCTTGAGCTTTATATTCAGCCTGAAATATTGTTTCTTTACCAAAAGACAAAGTCGTTCAACTTCATCTCTTGTCAAGTCAAACTCCCTGAATCAATCCTATTTTTACAATCTTCTCGTGATTTTTGCGCCGTTTTTATTTTGACTTTCAGCCTGAGTGATCGGTGTTTTCTTTTAGGAATGATCGATTAGAAAAACGATCGTTTTTCTCTAATTTGATTGATGAAGGCGCTTTTCGGGGAACCATCAAAGTCCAGTGTGAAAAACTTAGTTTCCTTGGATAATTACTAATCTTATAAAAGTAACTTATTTGAATGAACAAATCAATGAGTTTTCTTACAACTTTCCCTTTTTAATTATTTGTCTTGAAACTTTAGAACAGCCTTAAAATCAAAAAGTTAAGTCAATTTTTGATTTCCAATAGTTTTGATTTTCTTTTCTTTTTGGTTTTAGTTTTTTAAATGGTGAGAAAACAAATTTTCATAGTTTTTAAAAAACTTTGCTGTTCAAAGAAAAAATTTACATTTATTACTCCTCTAAAGATCCAAGCCCACCAATTTCTGCCAATTCCACGCAAATCGAATCTCTGTACTCATAAAATGCATCCGGATTTCTCTTTTTTTTTTCTCCTTTTCCTTTCTTTTTCCTTTATAATCCAGTGACCGTTTGAATGGATGAGGATAACGACCTTGCTCGCCCCGTTTTGTCCTCTCTTTTCTCTTTTCACTATGCCCGAATATCCGAGTGTGGGGAAAACCCAGATTTTCCGCTTTCTGACCGAAATCCCTAACAGCATTTCTCGTTAAAAATTTTTATCGATTCTAGCCTTGGGCTTTTTTTGTCTGATTATTTTCTTACCGTTCCTATTAGCTTGTTCTTTTGAATGTGTATCAGATTCTCATGGATCTCACAATGATATTAAAGACTTTCTGATTATTTTCTTACTCTTCCTATTAACCTGATCTTTTTAAATGTGTATCAGATTCTCATGGATCTCACAATGGTATTAAAGAACTTTCTGGGTCTACTGATTGTCAGTCTGAGGTCTGCTACTTAGTTAGTAACTGTTTTTGCATTAGTTTTTAATAGTTCTTGTATCAATTTCTCAAATCCTACCTTCAGTAGAATAAATTTTTCTTCACTTTGCTTAAAAAGTGTGCAAAATCTTATGATTAATCGATTTTTGATTACAATCTTTACAATTGATTACAATACAATTGATTACAATCGATCAAAGTCAATAAAAAAACTCATCTTGATCAGTTATTGGCTTTAAATTTAAACTTTTCCAGTCTAAGACAAGTTCGATTAAGTTTTTTATCATCAAATGATTGATTTACCGATATAAAGCAAAAATCACATCTTATTTTGTTTCTTATTCAACTTTTTTCGCAATCACTCTTTCCTCGTCAAAACAAATTCTCACCAAAATTGACGTTTTTCTCTTTCGCAATTTTCGAATCAAAATTTACACGCCAATTCTTATCAATTTAGCATCATTATTTTCTCTATTTCAATAGCAAATTCCTCGTTTCTTTGCCCGTAACTAGCTTATGTTTTTTTTTGCAGAACGGAGAAGTGAAAGTCTTGGAAAAAAGAGAAGAACGACCGCATTCCATTTGACGAGAGAAGAAAAGCTTTTCTATTGATCGTAGTGAAGAAAACAGTGCAAAAATTTGGTGAATGCCCGAGGTTGACGCCGAGAATCTCCCGCCGACTGGGAAGGCCACGGTCACTCGGAGATTCGCGCAGAAATGCATGAATCCAAAGGTAAAGATAATTATGCAGAAATGGCAAATGAATGTTTGTCTTGAATGAATGAATTAATTGAATGAATGTTCTTAAACTTATTTCCAAAGTTTTTCAAGAATTTGGCTATATACAAAACTTTTTTTACTATTTGAACTTGCTAGTAAACCCGAAGATCAAGGAATTTATTCAAATCCTTCAAGTTATTTATAGTTAATGTTAGAGCCTTCTCAATAAGCCTCTTGAGATGAAAAGGCGAAAAAAAGCAGTCCATCCAAGATCAGGGAATTTATTCAAATTCTTCAAGTTATTTATAATTAACGTTAGAGCCTTCTCAATAAGCCCCTTGAGATGAAAAGGCGAAAAAAAGCAGTCCGTGCAAGTTGTCGGCATGGCGCAGTGGTAGAGCGCGGGTCTCTCGTTCTGGCCTCTCCTTCCCGACCATCCGGGTTCAATCCCGCCCTCCATCTCTTGCAATCTAGGATTAAAATTTTTTGGCAATCTAGAATTAGATTGAAGCGCTCATCTGAAAAAGCAGGATTTCAGCTATAACAGCAGAAGAGCAGAAAAGCTTCAAGTAAAAGCAGTTATTTGTTTGATCAGGGTTTCCGAAACAATTCTACAAAATATCTATATTCTCTACAATATATCTACACCTTTTCCAACTTCTAATCTCTGCTCTTTACCTTGACAATCTGAAGTTGATTCTGAACCCTAATGCTTCCAGTTTTCTGCTCAAAATTTTGCTTTTCCTATTTAACAACAAACACCCCTCAATTAGCTAGAAAATAGCGGAGAATCAAGAAAAAAAGAAAATGAACAGTAAAGCGAAAGTCAAAGGTAAAAAGAAACAAAAAGAAATTGGTGGTGTGGACCGGTAAAGGAACGTGTTTGGTTGAGAGAATCCTCTCCCTTGCCAGCGACAGCCTAATCTCCTCGCATAGGGCTTATTTTTGAGAATAGACCGGTCTGTGCTATTTGGTGCTCTCTAAACCTAAGTTCTCTCGTTTTTCATATTATATCTCCCGTTCTTTATCCCAATCTTCTCTAATGTCTCGATTTTGTTTGTTGTTTTAGCTGTTCTTAGCTAGATTGAGTTTTTGGGTCATTTACAACGTCAATAATAAGTTTATCAATTATCAATCGGTTTCTAAACTTTTCCGATAAGTAGCTTGACGAGAGCTTGACTTCAGATACCTCTCTTTAACCATTTAGCTAGTTATTTTGATCTTCTATCTTCTTCTTATCTATCTATCTTCTTCTAATCTATCTTATTTTGATCTTCTAAATCCTTGAGAATTGCAGGAGTTTAGTTCACAGCTAAAAAGGAAAGGCATTGAGTCAAGTTAGCCTTTCAAGCTTGTTTAGCAACTGCTTCGTTGGTCTAGTTTCTTGGTCCTAAATTTACCTATACTATTGTCTACACCTATTGTCCTTGAGGTTTTTTCGAGTCCTACAGTTTGATAAACGAATGTGCTTTGTTTTTGATCAGATGCTTTTAACAATTTGATATCAAAAGATCAAATTTAGTATTCTAGAAGAAAGGTGTTGCACTTTTAAACCAAAATGGACCATTCCTGGATAGTCTGACCGTCAAAATGGACCATTCTAGTGGATAGTCTGCTAGTCTACCGAACCTGGTACCTTTTTGTTCTCAAGTTCGAGTCCCACTCTCGCCAAACTTAACAATTAAATGCCAAACTTGAAAAACTATTTCTCTAGATGTTTGTAATGAATAAACGAGTTGGATTTTATACACAGCTTTCTGTAATTTTCAGAAATTGGCAATAACTGTTAGATTTTTTAATACTTATCTACTGATTTTGATACTTTGAAAGGTTCCAGCTTTTGTATTTGTTTCAGCTTTTATTTAGCGGGGAATCAATGCAATAATTCAATGCAAATACGTAAGAAAACTATTTTTTAAAAAACAACAAGGTTTGACGAGAGTAGGACTCGAACTTGAGGAGCAAAAGTGCAATAAGTTCGGTAGACTAGCAGACTATCCACTAGACCACCGAAGAATGATCCATTTTGGTTTAAAAGTGCAACACCTTTCCTCTAGAATACTAAACTTGACCTTTTGATATTAAACTTTTAAAAGAATCTGATCAAAAACAAAGCAAATCCGTTTATCAAACTGTAGGACTCAAAACAAGCTCATGGACAATAGATCTAGACAATAGTATAGGTAAATTTAGGAATCTAATTGTAAGTAGACCGATCAGGGATTTGTTTATATATCCCTTAGGACTATTTCAGCTTAAAAACATCATTCTCAATCTAATCCTTCAATCTTTCCCAGATTCCCTTCATTCTCTCCCCATTATTTCCACCTCTTCCCTTTGTCCTTTCTCTCTCCATCTCCATCTCCATTCACCCAATCCACCTTTTTCTGCAATCCTTTCTTTTTCATCTCTTCTTTTCCACGAATTGTTTGACACCGGGTCCTCGGCTCTTGCCCGGGAAATATTGTTTGCGCACAGGTTCAACCATCAGCTAACTAGCCTCCATCTATTCATCTAACTCCTCTCTCACCTTAGCCCCATTTTTGTGCCAATCCTAGAGTCAAGATTGCCAACTAGACTATTTATTGACTGTTTTAACAGTCTTCTATCAATTTCCCGATATGGGGCGCCAGGTCGAGTTGCAGGTAAATCAAAAAATACACAAAAAGAAAGAAATTCTAGAAAAAGCTAGGGAAAACTAGACTTACTTTACCACTAAATTTCAGCGCTATCGGCCGATTGATCCAGACCGAGTGGGCGTCAATGGATCACCGGCAGAGATGACAAATGGTAATGGATGTGTCCAGAATGGAGTCTCCGATCATTTACAATGGGAAAGTGTTAAAGAGCGGGTGATCAAAGCGGGAACTGTGGAAAAGCTTGTGGTGAGTGGTTTAAAGAATAAATTCAACTAATTGATGAACTTGACTTTGTCATGGAGTTAAAATCTGTTCGGTGAGCTCAATTGGAAAGTTTTCAGTGATTGAAAGGGTTTAAATTGTTAAGATTTTGTTTAGATTGATAAGAATTGAATTGTTAAGAGCTTCACCAGAACTCAAGCTTCACCAGAACCAAAATTTCCCCTAGAATCTGTTATAAAAACTAATTTAATGATGCGGAAAGCGTTTTGAATCTAAGAACTTGAGCTTTTCTATCAATTCATCTTCCATAATACTTTACAAAACTTTCTACAACTGCTTTCGTGCTTTCTACAACTCAATTTTCTTGATAAGTGTAAAAATTCGCCTTTTGCTAAGCTAATAACCTTGCTAATTTGGTAATTATAAAGGTAAACTACAATTGTGAGTAAACTCACAATTGTACAACTTTGCCTTTGATACAAATTCTATTTGTCAGCTCAATTCAGATCTCTATTTTCCTATCCCTTTTTTCCTGCTGTATCTGAACAGAATCTCCTATCCAAATTCAACTTTCCTCCATTTTCTCCATTCAATATCTTTCAATATCTTTCTCCATTCAATTCTAGGTCTGTAAACATAGAATTTATGATCCATGTGGGTGAAAAGAATGAACCCGCTCGAAAAAGCTCTCTCCTTTTTCTTTTCTGTTTGGGGAAATGTTCGAATTCCAGTTTTGTGCACAACCAACAGCTTGTTTGAGCCTTGAAGAAAGAACAAAAGAACAAAGCTTTCGAAATGTTTCAAACATGAAATTTTGAAGGTTAAGCTTAGAAATTTTAAATAAAAACAATAACTAAAGCCTTTTCGAATCAATTCAATCATTTTTAGCCATTCAATAGACTAGAATTTGGTTTACAAGTTGAAATAATGTTCCTTTAAAGTATTCCATTTTTTTAAAAGCGGAAAAGTACCGTAATGACAACTAGTTTTCACTCATTTACCAAATTTTCATGTTTTTAACAATTTCAATGTCTGAGCCATGCGATTTCTCATCAAATCTAGTCAAAACTGGGACTGAAAACTGGTTGTTTGAGGGAAACTGGTTGTTTGAGGTCTAAAATAAGTACCTTTTAGAAAACGAAAGCAATTAGACTTATAAATATCTATTTATGTTTAAAAAGGTATTTGTATAGTACAATTTGAATAGTACAATTTTAATACTACAAACTATTAGGTTGGTGGGAAAATAATCGAAATTTGGAGCCTCTAACTTCAAGTCCAAAACTAAAAGCCAATAACAAATGAATTTATTCAAAGTAAAAACCATCAGCATCTATCAATGACGCAAAAGGACTCTTAAAATCAAAGACAAAGTTTGAGTCTTGTTTATTTCGATTATTTTCCCACGAACCTAATATTTCCTCAGATCAACCCACTAATCAGCGCAATCCCCAACTGCTAACCCAGACAATTTGTCTCTTTCAAATCTTTTCAATCACCACAAAATTCCCACACAACCAGATTTGTCAATTGAGAGTGATTGGGTGTGTTTGTGATCACAATTGACAGGAAAAAGCTGGCTGATTTGAATGAATGAAATGCCTCTTTGTAAGCATTGTCATCATCAATTTCTCTTCTCATTCATTTTCTTTCTCTCAAAATTTTACGAGCTTTTCTCTCGGGATTTTGATTGCGAGAAAAATGGGATTGGAATTTCAAAAATTAAGGGCATTTTGAGGGAGAAACACCGGGAAAAGCTTGTTTTCTTGGAAAACTTAAAGTCTTGCAGAAGCTTGGGATTAATAGTACTTGAAGCTTGTAGATTAATAGTACTTAAAGCTTGTTCTCTTGGAAAACTTAAAGTCTTGCAGAAACTTGGGATTAATAGTACTTGAAAACTCTTTAACACATTGACGATCGCGCATCTTTTCGACCGCGCGCATCGGCGAAACGACCGCTTTTTGGACCAGGGATCAAAATGCATCAGCAAATACCAGAAATTTGAACATAAGGGCTTAAAAGACTCTAGAATTTGAATCCGGCCTTAAATTTAGGCTAACAAACTTTATATAGCTCATTTTCACATTTTTAATTACCGTAAATGCTGTATTAGAATGAAATTTCATTCTATTTTTCAAACCCTTAAAATCGTTTGATCGAAAAAGTAGGTAAGGAAAAATTTAGATGACCCTATCTGATTAAATTTGTTCCCCTATCTCTCTAAATTTGGTTCCCTATCTCTCTAAATTTGGTTCACATGAAACAAAAATTTAGAATTCGCTAAAAACTATTTTAAACGATTTTCCTTTATCCAAAACGTACAAAAACAAATCCAAAAACACGTTTAAAAGTGAAATTATTTTCTTATTCGTGATCCCCTCTGAATCTCCAAAAAAAAATCCATGTAGGGGACCCTTATGATTTTTTCAAGAAATTATTTTATATTTTTTTCAAAAATAGCGTTTTAAATTTTAATACCGATCAAATATTAGTAGGTTTATTTGTTTTATAGGGTTAGATCTATCCATAGAACCTCCACAACGGGGATCTAAAGTCAAGATTTCGAGGGGTCAGAGGAGGATTCTATTAGAGGGTGTCATTCTAATACAGCATTTAGGATACTTTATTTTATACGCTAATTTCTAGTAGTTAACTTCTTGATGAATATATGCTATATGTTCCCGAGCCGGAATTTCCTTTAGAATTGTTTTGAGCCTTTAAAAATTGATTACCTTAGATAAAGGGGATTTTTTGAAGCCGGTTTAATTGCCCAAGTTCTGATCCTATATCCTCATTCTGGTGGAAACAGCCCAGCCACGATCAGCGGATTTGAAATGCTAATATACTCCGCCATAAATGGGAAGAGTCTAATACCACCTAAGCTAGTCGAGGGAAGAACTGCACTAATTCCTAAGGTGAAGGACCCTAAAGACGCAGGCTCCTTCCGACCTATCGCCATATTGAACACGCAATTCAAGTTACTGACCGGAGTGATTGCACGAGTGATCACCGAGAAATACAACGGGAACAGGTACGCCTTCCCAGAAGAACAGTTAGCTGTGAGAACGGGTGTGAAAGGATGCGAGACAGCCCATCTGACCGAGATCGATACTCACTGACGCCCACTTCCGAAAGAAAAACGGCGAAGCTGCGTTAATAGAAGCATGGGTGGATTTCTCAAAGGTATTCGATAGTGTGAGCCATGGATACTTGAAATGGCTGCTACGCGATGCTCCACCCGGGATCCAGAAATTAATCAGGCACATACTTGATTGCGAGAGGACCGAACTAACAATTGGACTAACAAACAACAGAATAGACCCAAAATTACATGATCTTGCAAAATTTGAGCTCATTTGGTCCAACAATTCACGAGAAACAGCCGTGACTCAGCATTGAGTCACGTGGTCCGAACCGGTAGCCAAGCGTGACTCAGCATTGAGTCACGCGATCGTCTATGTGTTAAAGCTTGATCATACGTGTAGGGCTATATTTTATTGACAAAAACAGGTTGATCTTTATCATTGAGATGCGAGTTTCTTTGAGTTAGCCTGAAGCAGCTGCGCTGGCAGCTTGATTCGCTTGGGTGGCGTTGACGGTTATGTTGCAGCCGCATTGGAGCGATTTGGTCATGCAGGCAACCTAGAAACGAGAAATTATAAAAGCTAAAATTTTTGCCCTAGCTCTTATCTTAGTTAGAAATTGTAATACAATCCGATTAAATCTCTGAATAGCTTGAAGAATCTCTAGATAGCGTGAAGAACTAACCGTCGAAACATCTCTGTAGTGTTGGTACAATCCAAAGTAGTGGGGCACATACTTATCGTAAAGATTCGTCAACACTGCGACTCTTGTTCTTGCTTTGATGTTCTGAAAAGATAACCTATTAGATGTTTCTTGTAATGTAAAGCACTTAATTAACGCACATATTGTTAAACTTCTTTCTATGTTAATAGATAAGTCAGACTTTGAAGAACGATGCAATTTTCCTCACCTCAAAGCATTTTCCAACGGTCGCCGTTGACACATAATTGACACAAAGCACGCAAACTTGATTTTGAATAGTTGTATAGTTGGCCTTATTAGAGATCCATGCCTTGTAGATGGGTACAAGCTGAAAATAGGATTAAAATGAAGAGTGAAAAACTGGAGAAGGCCAACCAGAGGCCAACCAACCGACCATACACATTCAAGTACAGATACTGTACTTAAATGCTGCAACTACTTAGTTGATTCTTGCAAACTTATACCCCATTATTATAAGCAGCTTGTAGACAAGACATCGCTCCACATGTAGCACCGTTAGCTATCTCGTCGAGATTGTAATTGTTCATCTAGAGTAAAAATATAAGTGATGGTTCTCTAACAGACACAGTTTTGGGTTTCTATATAAGGTATACTTGCTTTATAAAGCGCTTAAATAGCGCAAGGAAGCGCAAGGAAGCGCAAGGAAGCGCAAGGAACACTAGAGGATGTTCCTTACGAGTAAGTAGCTCGAGGGAAATTTGCATGAGTAATTTTTACTCGCTTAATCGAGAGCTGGTCAAAACAGCGTCATGTACAAGCAGTGCCACGGCAAAAAGAGCCCGCGGTTAAATTTCTGTGTTTCTTATTAAATGTAGAATTAAATTATCTACATTTTGTATACTTTGGGATCACTTAAAGCAGAATTTCTCAGTTAAAAGCTCAGTTAACCTCTTTTTGAGTGCTTTTTCGGTTTTTTTTGGCATTTTCTCATCCCAGATTTGTTCTAAACGGCTCCAAAAAATAGCAAAAATCAGCAAATAGCTAATTTTTGGTTCTACATTCAATAAAAATAAGAAACACAAATAAATTGAACCACAAACGCATTATTTTGGCCGGCGCTGTTTGTGCACGGCGCTATTTTGTTCAGCTCTCGATTAATTCATGTTTTTGGTCGAGTAACTACGAGTAATCCTCTTTGCACGACAAGTAAATTGAATATCTTTACATTTGAAGGGATTTGTGAGGAACACTCTCTATTAGCAACCGAATTCAATGAACCCACTACAAGCATGATCTGAGCGGCATCCGAGGCCACAGTGCCCGCTGTTGCCTGATTGTATTGACCAACGCAAGCGATCAACTCGTTTAAGTGGCTGGATACGTAGTCCTTGATGGCTGAAGTCTTAGATTTTTGTACAATTCTTCAACAAAGCCAAGTTTAGTCCATAGATTTTGCTATTTAAGTTACCATTTCCAATTTCGCACATCGTTGGCACAGCATTGTTACCGGCTGTGGTACGATTCTTGATCCATTGCTCTACATAGACCCCAATGAAGTTAGCAAACTAGAAAATTGCTCATTCATTCATTCATTTACATTCAAAAGTTTGTCACTTACTCCGTACATCACTTTTGGATCAAGAACGGTTGTCTTGTTAATCTGGGCGATGATCCTCGAGAAACAAGTCCCACACTTGGCTGGGATTTTCCCGCCGACAGGGGCCGGACAAGGGGCACTTGTTGATGCCGCTGCCACTTCCGGCACAAGCCCATAGATTAGCAATGCGGCCACAATGAAGATCATTTCAGTGCTGGAATTTCGAGTATCGTATTTTCCCTAGTAGTGCACCCAAAGCTTCCCCTAAATTGCTCGAAATCTCGAGGACCGCTTATCAGAACCTATCGATGTGGGGAAAATGTAGCTAACGATGAGATCTTGCGGGGGATTAGAGTGTTGAGCTTCTGGAAAACTTGGAAGCTTTAAAATAGCCATCAACTCGGCTCGGCCGAACGCATTACTATTAGGGATTAGACTTTGGTAGTATTGTGTTCAATATTAATCTTTGATTTAAAGGTTTTCAGAACGAAGAATGGTATTAGAGATAAGTTTTGGGTTTTAGTCTTTGTTTAGATCTTCTGAATCTGATACTGGGAAGAAAATGATAGGAAAATAGTTTACTAATCTCATTCTTAAAGAAAGCTTATCAAATACAGCATATCATAAAAGCTTAGCTTATCAAAAAGCTTATCAAAAAGCTTATCAAAAAGCAAATGTAGCTAGCAAACTTTAGTTTAAAGATTAGCAAAGAGAATTCGTGAAAAGAACATGAAAAAAACAAAAAAACTATCACAAAACGTGAGTTAACATATTTATTTGAGATTTACAACTATTAGAGCTGTGAAATGAGATCAGAGAATCGGGGATTCGTTGGATTTTTAGCGCTTTATAGTTGCTTGATCCCTTGACGACCACAATTCGATCTCCACGTAGTTCTCGATCCCTTTTCCCTTCCCCAATGCACTCCACACCCAATTAAAAGTCCCAATCGCTCATCAATTTCACTCAACCATTGAGCATTTTTGCAGAATTCAAACCTTAAATGGAGAAAGAGACTAGGGAGGTTGGGTCGATTGGAAAACAACAGACCAATTCCTGATCAGTAATAAGCTGTGATTTGTGCTCAAAACAGAGATTGATTCAAATCATCAAATTTTAAACCGAGATTCAGGAATGCTTGATCGGTCCGGATGACTTGATGGACTCAAGGCATTTCAACGTGTTCTTCGCCACTTTTCGTGCCTTTGCCCAGCCGGTTGATGTGCTTGACCGAATGTTGAGGAGGTTGGTTAGTAGAGTAATAAGAAAATGTCTGCCTTGAGCTTTTCATTGATTACTTAAATGGGGATATAGTTTAAAAAACGTCGAATAGAAAACGTTTAAAACAGCGCCGTCAGATTTCACAATCCAAAAGCCAAGCCAATTCAAGTTTTATACCAAAAATTTCTTGCATTCTTGGCTACATAATGGGTAAAACGGTTTTTTAAAAAAGTTAATAATTAATAGATAAAATTAGCGTTTAAAATATGTGTCGAGTTGTTTAACTGAATATCTTTAGAGGTCCGTTTTGAGCGCTCTTTTTGGAGTAGGCTAGTTTCCGCAACTTTTTTTGCGCAACAGGGCATTTGCATAACTGGGTCGTTTGCTCAACTCACCATAACTTTCTTCTAAGTGGACCATTCTTTATGATGTTGGTTTAATTTTGTTGCACTTATTGAGATCTACAAAATGAAACCAAAATCATAAAGGTTGATACACCTAGAAGAAAGTTATGGCGTCCTTTGCTGGGTCATTTGCGCAACTAGGTAGCTACTTTGCGCGGCTACCTTTGGGCAACTCGCCATAACTTCCTTCTAAGTGGGCCAATCTTTATGATTTTGGTTTCATTTTGTAGATCTCAATAAATGCAACAAAATGAAACCAAAATCATAAAGATTGGTCCGCTTAGAAGGAACTTATGGCAAGTTGCGCAAATGGCCCTGTTGCGCAAAAAAAATTCTGGAAACTAGCCTACCCCCTCTTTTTATTTATTAAATCAACTTTTTTATAAAAAACTGTTTCACGCATGTAGCCAAGAATGCCAGAAATTTTTTAACATAAGACTTGAACCGGCTTGGTTTTTTGGATTGTGAGAAATTTGGCGGTTTTGATGTTTTGAACGTTTTCTATTATGGTGCTGTTTTAACTACATCTCCTTAAATGACTTGTAGCACTTGTGTATAGATATTCTGCAGTTGCTTGTTTAATATCGATACTAAGATTGGTTAGTACTAGCTCTACTAAGATTGGTTAGTATCTAGCTCTGAAGGTATTCCTAAAGAACGGTATGCCTAAAGAAAAATTGAGTAGTTTTATTTTTCTTGTAGTACTTCTTTTATTTTTCAACCCTACTTCGGTAATCTATTATAATTTCTACTTTTTAGATATGAATCCCTAGAATGCGACTCCGCCGGCAGCACCTCGGCCTTGGTCATCCAAAAGTAAGATCTACAACTATTTCTGTTACAAACTCCATTAAAAGTCTGAGCTCTTTTAATTCAATCCATTTGCAGCTCGATTCGCTCGGTGCTGATCTGTTGGATGGACATGTACCCAGAGGATTTCTACTCCATCGAAACAGACTTTGCCATGCTCACAAATCTATTGGACTTTGGTAAGCGCTTAGAATAGATTTTTTTTGCTACTTTCTATAAACTATAGTACTGTTTAATGTTTAGTTTTTAGTATAATTTAGTATTGTTAGTATTGTTAGTGTTGTTAGTGTTGTTAGTATTGTTAATATTGTTGTACAGTTTTCATTATTGTTGAATGTTCAGGTTTAAAACACAAAATGCCCGATGTGAGAGCAAAAGCGAGAATTTTACGGGAAAAGTTCAAGAAAATCGCGAGTCAAGGAGGAATGATTGGTAAATTTTTGGTTTAATGATTAAAATTGAATAGCTAATCTTTGGCAAAATTAAAAATTCAGACCGTTTCGGAAGTTTATCCTTGGAAGAATTCTTAGAGCTTTACAAGTTCCATTTATCAGATGGTTTACTGTTAGGTTTGAAGTAGCTAGATATGCTGAAACAATCGCTTTCAAGCTATAGTTAGACTTAGAAATAGTTTCTTCGTTTTTTAAAGTCTCAAAGTTTCAAAGTTTCAGCCGCTCTTCCCTCACTGGATCAACTCGCTTATGCATTTGGATATGAGCACGCGGATTATGTGAACAATGCAAGGGAACGGGCGAAGATGTTCGATGTTGGAAGGGGAAATTGCGTACAAATTGCTGAGCAACTCACCTTTTGGGATGCGGTGAGTTTTTGTAATTAAGGGATTTATATATGGGTTTTTTTCTAGATTTAGGGTTTAGCAGTTGTTCTTTTGCATTGCTTGTACCAAATTATTTGTGTGAATAACTGTATTTTTAAAAATATTCCCCTTTTTGACAAACATCTCCTCATTTAGGCTCTCTTCAAAGAGTTGCTCACTCATCAATGTCAGGGTTGTATGTGGTCAAAGAGGGAAAAGGTGAAACCGGACAAAGTTTACACTGTAAAGGCCACGATAGATCAGGTATCGATCAAACTAGAATCTGTCTGAATTCTCTGTTTTTAGTTTAATGCGGTTTCTCGGCGCGTGATGACCTCGATTGTTTTGCCCGATTGTCGACCGGATTTTCGGGCAAAGATCATCGCGAAATGGATCGATATTGCCAGGGTTAATTTTGTGTAAAGCTAAAAATATCGTAAACATCATTATAATATAAACAAAACAAACAGAAAATAAGATAGTTATGTTACATTGCTTTCGGTAGCTTCAAAACTGTTTAACTGTTTTGACAATTCATGGAAATGGAACGTGAGAAAAAGGAAAGATTTAGGCTATAGCTTAAAAATTCGATACTTAATTCTCATAATCGAATTTCATTTTAGAACTTAATAACCAATAATACCATATCAAATCATATCAAATACAATTTTTTTCAGGAGTTGAGAGCCTTGAAGAACTTCTCTTCATTGAAAGCTGTGATTTCTTCGCTTCAGTCAGAGCCAGTTCATCGATTAAAAAGCACATGGGCTTTGGTGCCAAGGTGAAGAAAATTGAATTTGATATTGCCAACAATTGTCTATTTCAGCCGTTCTTTGACCCAATTCCGTGAGCTGGCCTCGATTTTCGCTACCGATGTCGATGGGGATGAGCAGAACGCTCGTCGAATATTGGATGAGGTTGGTAGATTTGTTGATAATATCATATCCTAAGACAATACCGTTATTTTTTAGTTTCTTTATGGTTTGCTTTTATTTGTTGATTTATTTCTTACCTATTTTCTTTTGCAGGAGGGTACGGCTAAATCGTCACCCCTGCGAAGACCTCAATTGATTCAGAATTGTCGCCGAACAAAAAGTGATGTGAATTTGGCTGAATGCCAAGGAACTGTGAGTTAAAAAAAGCTTTTATTGGTTTTAGCATATTTGATTTTGGAACTAAATAAATGATAAAATTTGATTTTATGGAGAATTTAGGTTCCTTACCTTGGCTCTTTCTTGACGGATTTGACAATGATCGATCAAGCGGCTTCAGATTATACAGAAGGTAGGATTTAAGGGATATTGTTAACTTTTATTGGTAAACTTTGTTCTATAGGGTGCGGTCAAAGTATGGAAACTAAAGCTATTCGGCCTAACTCAGTTCTCGATGCCTCAAATCAAATAATTCTTTTTTTGCGACTACATTCTGAGTTACTTACTCTAGGAAAAACGTTATTGAACAAAGGGGTACTTTCCTGTTATATTCACTACCTACAGCTATGCTATTTGCAACAAAGTTTACATACAACAAAGTCTGAAATATGTAAAAGCGTTACCAAAAAAACTAGAAACTAGAAAAAAACTGAAATTGAGCTTTTTGAAGACTTGAAACATTTCCATTCGGGTCAATTCAGGATCTTTAAACTGTTCATCTCTATTCTATGAGATTCCCTGAATCATTTGATTGTTTAGTAGATCAATAATGCAGTCTGAAATGTATAAAGGCGTTATCAAAAGGACTATATTGGTGAATTTGAGCTTTTTCAAAGAATTGGAATATTTTAAGGAATTTGAGACCGAAAAATAAAAAGATGGTAGTGGCTATGAAAGTGCCGACAAAGGCAACTGTTTCCTAAAAGTTCAGATAATCATTCAAAGTGCGCGCGTTGGGAATGCTCGGCCGATTTTCTTAGGTTAGATAGAAATTTCCGCAAGAAAAGAACCGTTTCTTTGATTGAATTTCAATGTTTTATGAATACTTCTTGAAGATGTTCATATTTTTGGGCAATAAATATAATCATAAATAGAATCTTAGAACAATTTATAGGTTCGACCGGGTATTCCCGAAGCGCGCACTTTAAATAATTATCAGAACTTTTAGGAAACAGTTGTCTTTGTCCAATAATGTTTTTCCTAGAGCAAGTGACTCAGAATATACTAGCAAAATAGAGTTATTTAAAAAGAACTAAGTTAGACTCAATAAATCGATCAGGTTGCCATAATTCTGCCGCACTTTGTAGAGTGTTACAATCTTAAATAGAATGATTTAAGAATTGATTTCAGAAGGATTGATCAACTTCGACAAACGGCGTCGAGAGTTCGAGGTGTTGGCCAAGTTGAGGCTATTCCAATCAGCCGCTCGAGCCTACAAAATCCCGATGGATCGAGAGTTCTGTGCTTGGTTCTTCTATTTGCCTTGCTTGTCGGAAGATGATTGGTCAGTTTTGCAATATTTATCAACAAATAATCCAGACCTGGAGCTGATATCGATCTTTTTCTTGTAGAGTAACTTCTTAGCTTTTTGCTTCTGAACATATCTGATACATACAACGAGGTTTTAGATTAGTTTTAGCTTTAGATCTTTAGATAAGATTCTTTTTAGCAGCTAACAACTTGTAGTTAGCATTTTAGCCATAGAGAAACAAACTGGAGTCAAAACTGATTCCAATTTTAGCTTCCAACGCTCAATGGAGATCGAGAGACCCCCAGCAATCTCCACTCCAGATTTGAATTCGAGAAATCACAATCTATCAAGTGTGAACAGTTCAAGCTCAAATATGAATAAAAGGTAATAATAGGATTGCTGAATTTTCAAATAAACTCTTTAGTAACACTTTGTCACGACTGTTCAACAATTCGAGGACAAGCGAGGACAATCATTCGGTGAGTGATGGAATAAATTGATGAAGTTTCTAAATCAAAAATGTAAATAAGTCAAGTTTATGTGGAAATTTCAGATTTCTGGTAGTGGCACGCCGTTGATGGGTCAAAATTCGAGAGATTCTGGAATCCACAATGACGATTGGACTGATGGAGGGAGTGGAACACCGGCAATGTCAAGGTTTGGCGATTCTTATCTCAGCTCTTAAAGTTAACTAGTTTTTCTAGAGATTCTAGAGCTTATATCAGCCAGCCAAGCCATTTGTGGGACTGGTTTGGGTTTTTCTTTCGGTAAATTTTCATCTAGTTGGTTGTTTTCTTGGAGCACTTGTATAATAGAGAACTTGGCACCTTTGGCTTTATCAATTGCCTTCTAAAGCTTATCGGATTGATAGTTGTGTCTTAAAAATGAAGTATCTGATCTAAAACATATAACTTTGCCGAAAAGCGATCCTCATGTGAGAGTTTTTCAACTTCAACAGATAAAATTTAAACTTATTTCTGCACAATTATTCTACTTCTACTTGTTAGCAAGAGCCTTATCCGCTAGATTCTAATAAATCTATCAAACATTTTCAGAATGGCCGACTCGGGCCATCCAACCTCTTCATCAACCGCTCCATCCACTCCCGCATCGACGATTTCGGGTAAAGCCGGCCGCAGCATTTTCTATCACACCCCACCGCATATTGGTATGCACTTTTCTGGGCACATTTTATGGGCCAAACTTTTGGGGTACTTACTTTAACTAGGTCTGCTAGGTGTTTCGGTTCTTCATAAGCCTTTCATAAGGATTTTCAAATCCAAGAGCTATCTGGGGCAAGGATTTTTTAAACATCAGGTACGTCCAGGTCGAACAAGTCAAGGGCAACCCTTGGAATCAAGTCAACCGACAAGTCCATTTGACTTACTATCCCTAAAATTGAAGCTTTGGGGTTAAAAATTGTCATTCTATTTGGGTTATCGGACATTTGATACTCGCCCCGTCCGCAATTCAACTTTGAGCTCAAATATCTTGGTGTTGGGCTTTCCAGTTTCAATATTCTTGGTATCATTGGATTCGGCAAGTCTTTCTCTGTCGATTGGTATAAAAACTATTTAAATTGAACAGCTCAATGCCAAGAAATTTAAGCTCAAAGTTAGATTGCCAATGGTAAAGGGGCGGGGCTTATCAAATGCTCCAAACTTTTCTATTTCTGAATTAATCTAAGCTTTCAGGGTTTCTTTAGCTTTAACAAAAATCTCTGCTTTTTTCAGTACGTCGGGTTTTTACTTCTTGTATTTCACCGCAAACCCATGAAGGTTAATCTATGTCGGAATGATGAGATGAGAGAAATTACTGCAACGAATGAAATGACAAAGTTCATAAACCAATTCCATTCCAAAAAGTCGCCAAAGCTCGTCATTTCATTCAAACTCTAAGCATGCATGCAGAGATTTTCATTTTTTTTCCATTTTTTGCCAATCTCAAAGCACCCTCAATGTTCAAAATGTTCAAAATGTTTTGTCTTCGTGACATGGAATCGTTACACTAACATTTTCATGTTGAAAACGTGGATTTTCAAATGTTAGCTGTAAATATTACTTGAATTCTAGACCAATGATCTTTTTTTTACTTTCAGGCAGTGAATTCTCACCAATGGCTATGTTCCAGCCACATCAAAGGACCCATTCAAGTGATTCGCATGATCGGGCCAGACTACCGCCTGATTATCCGGTAAAAATTGGATTTTTATTGCTTAAGCATTCTAAAGAACACTTTATTCATTTTTTTTTGTTTTTGAAGTTTTCAATTTATGATTTTGTAGCGCTTGTGGTCACCGAAGATGAAAGTGGGTTTACACTCAGAATAGATTAACCCCCAAAAATATCCCTTTGTACCTCCTTTGTTGTTCGGATATAAAACGAAACTTAAGACAAAAATGGGCGAAATTATTTTGAACAAAGAAATCATAGTTTATTGAAGTTTAAATTGAGTTGACAAGTGGTTAGTTAGCTTTGGCATAAAGAAATATGTGACTGGAAAATGGCTATCGGTGAGAATTTATAGGCATAAAGAGAAGCATAAAGTTGGCTGTAAAACAGTTTCACTAGGGGATTTGGTATGAGAAAAGTTTGAAAATGAATGAAAATAAAAGGAAAAGGTTATAGCTTTTGATTGATTGGTTAAATGTACCGTAAATCAGTGAAATGTACTCACACTAGTACAGAGAAGGCTATCCAGAAAATCTTTTCGTTACTTTTCTGTTGAAAAATAACAAAATCACCAATTAACCTATGATTTGCTCTAAATAAAAAGTGTTTATTGTTCAATTTCCTATCTTTGTAAGTCAATTTTGGTTCACTTTCAAGCAAATTCGAGAGTTTACGAAGTCTTTTTCGTAAAAATCTATAAAAACCTCTATGAAGAAATTAGCTGAATGAATTTCACTAAAAATTTGGCTATAGACCAAACGTTTTGTGCTCTATCTTTTATCTATTGACACCAAGATAGGTTTCTTTGGATCAAAGTGTCTAAATCGCGAAATCGAATTGTCGCTCTAAGCCTAAGCCTAAGCCCGACCTTCACGCTCCCAAAAAATCCAGACATAAGACATTTTAAACCCGTTTTAATGTTATTTTGCAGGAAAATGAGTGATCTTTCTAATGAAACAAACAAAGTTCAATTGGTGCATTTGTTGGTTTTAAACGAAAGTACGAAAAGGGACAAAAAGACTTTCTGGAGAGCCCAACATCTTCCCTCTTCCCCCAGCTTCATCCCTTTTTGTAATCCATTTCATCCCCATCTTTTCGTTCTCTAGCACCGCTCAGCCTCATTTGATCGTGGTGTCATTCATCGAGTCTCACATGGAAATCAACTAAATGGACAAATCGGTGCTAGACGGGGAACCCTCCCACCCGGTCTACCCCTTCCTCATCACAATGACGCCTCACAGCGACGCGAACCCACTTCGGTATTTGGGAATGGAAAAGAATGAAGATCACCCCCTAATCTGTCTTTTCTTATTTTAAGCTTGCACATTTTATAATCGTTTTCCATTGTAACAACTTCTCTACAATAATTGTTTGTCAGTTTTTTTAAGCTAATGTCTTTTCGATTATGGGACTTTTTGTCTAGGGATGGTCTTGTTTTGGGTTAACAGGAGAATTTACGACTTTCTTGAAAATGAATTTTAGGCATCGACCGTGTCTTCTGGATCATCACAATCAAACAATTCCACGCCGACCTTTCATTTGGCGAGAGTTGGATTGGATGATGCGTTGCAGCCGGAAGGAAGTGGGGGTGCCAATTACAAGTGCATTAAGGTGAGAAGGGCAAACGGGCAAACTTTTGTTTTACTTTGCGTTTCCTTTGTAGGGCAAACGGGTAAATTGATTCTTTAAATGTTGAAAAGCTTCTCATCACAATTTTAGGTCGAAAATGGTGATCGAATGCCGGAGTTGATCGAGCGGATTCTTGAGAAACACCTCATTGATGGAGACAAAAGCGAGTTCTGTTTGGTGCAACTTTTGGAAAATGGAGGTGAGACTTTTTTATGCAATAAAAGGAATCAAATCCAATCTTGTCCTAGGGTCACTAATACTAGCTCAAAAAAGTGCTATTTCCAGAGCTTGATCCGGCCGATTTATTAGAGATATTCTATTAGGCTGGCACGTAATTCCGGATATTCTTTTACATATTCTTGATATTATACGTAATTCTTTTACAAATCTGTTTAGAAATTTACACAAATTAACCTCCGATTTGTTTCATTAGAAAAGCTTTTACCGTTTTTCTAGAAAATAGCTATAAACACATGTAAATGTTTTGTGTTTGAACGTTTTTTTCGGATCAGTCAATGTCTTTATAGGAATTTTTATCAAAACAAGGTTTTTTTGCTTTGAAACAGATCCAAATTGGCTTAAAAAGATAAAAAAGGGACAAACATAGGTATATAACAAGATTAACTGATGAATTTGTCATTTCTAAACAGATTTCTAAACAGATTTCTAAGCAAGTGTTATCAAGAATTACGTTTACTAATAATACTTTTAGTTAATGATTCAAAATTCAATCCATAAAATGGATTGAATCCAACTCCATCCATTCCATAAAATTTTAAATGGCTTTAGGCGAATTCCAATTGCCCGACAAATGCAATCCATTCTACGCGATGGCTCCCGACAAATCCCATATGTTCAATTTGATTCTAAGACGGAGAAAGGAGTTGGATGGTGAGTTTCCCTCATTTGAAAACTTCTCAAATGTTCTATCAATTCTTCAGGCACCATAAAGATTCGATTCTAGCCACTCAAAAGCATGGTGTGGTGATTTACAAATGAAAATCTTTTAACCTTTTCTAACCCCCAAAAAAAAAATAAAACCCATTGTTGTAATGTAGCTTTATCCTCAGTTTCTCCTATGGGATTTGTTGGTTTAGATTAGAAATTAGCACTGAAAGCACTTTTAATGCAATTTAACCAACAATTTTCATAACTTCTTGTGTTATTTGAGTCTCTTATGAACTTGTTTGTCAAAATGTCAAAGGGTTTTTTTTGAGATCAATAAACTTTCAAGATCTGACAGATTGTAGGAATCTGGTTTTGATTGAATACTATTCAAAAAATCATTCAAAACCATTTTCATTCATCGGATCAGTTACAAAAGTTTGATTTCGAAATTTTCTTTGAAATTTCGACACTCAAGTTCATTCTCTCATCTGAGTTTTTCTAATCTTGGGACTAAACCTATTGTAATCTTTTAATAAATACAAATTTTAGGTGGCTCTCAATCACCGGCGTTAGGTCCATCGGCGAAGAAATTAAACAAAATGAAGAGGAGCAACCTGTTGAGATGGAGTAGTGGATATTTATAGTCAATGATTATGATCGAATTTGTAAAATTTGAGAAATCGATGTGTACTTTATGCTCACACTTGTAAACGCATCTTTTCTAGTTCACTCAATTCTTGGAGGTTTGCACAAATCGTCTAGGATTTACTTTGAAAAGATTGTGGAGCATTTAATACGCGCCCTGGCATTGGCAATCCAACTTTGAGCTCAAATTCCTTGGTGCTGGGCTGTCCAATTTAAATAGCTTTTGTACTAATCGACTGAAAAAGGCTTGGTGCATCTAATGATACTAAGCATATGGAAATTGAACAGCCCAACACCAAGATATTTGAGTTCAAAGTTAGATTGCCAATGGCAAAAGGGGCGGGGCTTATGAGATGTCCGATAACCTTGAAAAAATGAATGCTCAAGTGCACAGAAAGTATGCGTTTCCAAATTTTAGCCCAAAGTACACTAAAAGTCAATGTAACTATCATTCTTTATTCAATTCTCTGAAAATTTCCCCTATTTTTCAAAGTTTATCTCCTCTTACGGGTTTCGCTGCCTCAAAAAAAGTGTTTTCATATGCTAAATTCTGTGTGATATGCAAATTTACGACTCTTTTCATATCTCTGTTTTACTTATTTTGTGAAATTTGTGTGCTCGAATCTTTCATTTTTCATTTTTCGCCTTAGTCACTGTGTTTTTGCTCAGAATTCTGTAATTTCTACCCATTTTTTTTCTTTTCAAAGTTTTCTGATGATCAGGCATCGACGGGTTTGTTTTGCTTCACCGCTTACGCACCATTTCTCCTTAAATAACAAACACTTTCACATTTTCATTTTGGCAATAGCTTCTCCCAAAAATTTTCTACTTATTGACACTGATTGGTACAAAAATAAAATGTTTTTAGTTAAATAATCAAAAGAAAGCGCAAAAAAAACCGTAACCCACTACACTACAGTAAAAAGGGAAATTGAACATTTTATTGTAACATTAGATGCAGCAGATGATTGTAGAGATTTTATCATGATACAGTACTGGACAATGAAATATCATATTTGAAAAATGATCGTCACGTTCGCACGTCTGTAACTTCTTTGTCTTTGAGTTTAAACTATTAGTGTTATACATTTTCTGAAAGCTCTTTTCAGGGGCTACACAATGGTAATATTAATATTTACAAATACGGTAAAGACAAGGGAGTTACAGACGTCCGAAAGTGACGATCGTTTTTCAAATATGATATTTCATTGTCCAGTACTGTACATTACATGTTATTGAGTGTTTCTAGAAATAGATGAGCTAATTCAATCCTAAATCTGGATCAAATCCATCATAAAATGAGGTATTAAAAGATGAAATCAGATCATTTCAATATTAAGCATTTCAGTTAGTGGCTCTAGAATTTGTAGCAAAAATGCAGTCAAATTTGAAGTAAAAATTGGTCCCTAAAATTTGGGCATTGAAGGGAACCGCGTAAAAAGAAATTTACGCAAATTCGATAAATAGATTTAAAATCCTCTAAATTCAGCTTTCCTTTTTCAGAAAACTGAAAACTTACACAAGTTCTAGGGAAAATAAGCTGCAAAATGGGAATGGCCCGGTGAGAATGGTCCTGTGAGAATGGCCCCGATGAGGATGGCTGGATGAGGATAGCCCGATGAGGATAGCCCGATGAGGATGGCCCGATGAGAATGGCCCGATGAGGATGGCCCGATGAGAATGGCCCGATGAGGATGGCCCGATGAGGATAGCCCGATGAGAATGGCCCGGTGAGAATGGCCCGATGAGAATAGCCACTTTTTTCAAATAGGAGACGATTCCTGAAGTCTTGTTGAATTTACGCAATGCTTAGCAAAGATAGCATAGAATGCATTACTGTATTTTAAAACATTTCTGTTTGCATCAGAAGTTCTGACCAGTTTTGAAAGATCCGTTTATTGCCGGACAAACTTGCCGCCTATTCTCACAATTTCACCGATTCCCAGTCTATAAATCACAAAAAAGCATAAAATCTGTGCAAAACATTTTGGATTTGCAAAGTAATGAGAATTTTGCTTTCGTCGTTTATAGAAAAATGGTTTGTTTGATTTTTTGCTTGTTTCATATTGTAATCAATGTAATCAGAGCTTGGCTGTACTTTTAAAACAATTGATCAACTCTATAAACTTTAAAATATCACAAAAGGAAAGTTTTTAGAATTTCTATGAATTGTTTCAATAGTTAAAAGTGAAATAATAGAATGAGATACGAATCGAATATAAAAATACGTTTTATAATCAAATTGGGGTCAAGATGGGCAGCTAAAGTCGATGAAATCTCATACAGAACTAGGATGATTCAGAAATGATGATTTTGGTTAACATTACAGACAATTAACATTACAGACAACTTCAAGATCAATACAGTAAAAGAAAAATCAGAAATTTGGCACATAAGTCAATGAAAGCTTTCGATCTTCTCCTTTGAGGCAGCAGGTTTTGACGAGAGCCGCTGTTACATTGTAAGGATCACAATTGGATGAAGGACGACGATCCTCAAAGTAACCCTGAAAAGAATTTTATAATATTTTGAAGTTGCAAAGTAATGAGAATTTTGCTTTCGACGTCTATAAGAAAAAGATTTTCTTTTAGAATGATCATTTTCGTGTTCTAGGTTCTGTAAGCCAGGCAAGATCTTGCTTGTCAATTATGCTAACGTGGCTCCTCTTGGTGCTTCTTTGCGTTATCTTTTCTATTGAGTTTCATAAATATTGAATATCATGTACAATGTAAGAAGTTGGGTTAAGTCAACCATTTCTTTTAAAGTCTCCTATGCACTGATGGAGTTTGAATAATTTACGGTCTAGGAGACTCGGCACGATTGGCGATTATATTTGTGGTCTTGGCCTGACGAGTGGGCTTCTATTCAGTGGATATGGTGTGCTCAAAGTCTCATTTGGTGACTCTTCTGTTGATCTCTTCAATCATTTCGCTTTCCTCGAGCTGCTCGCGATCCCTTGTGGGATTTGGGCGATCGGGAGATCGATTTATTGGCTATTTGATCGAACTCTCCATTCGCAAAGGACCACCAGCAAAGAAACTTTGCCCTCATGGCTCACGATCACTACATTTCTCGCATCTTTTGGCGTTTCGTCAAAGTCATTGATTCTACGATTGCCCTCAAATTGGGACCCACTATTATCGGCTGTCTATCAGTTTCGTGTTCTAGGTTCTGTAAGCCAGGCAAGATCTTGCTTGTCAATTATGCTAACGTGGCTCTTGGTGCTTCTTTGCGTTATCTTTTCAATCGTTTTGTTAATATTGAATTACTCATTTACTCATTTTTCTCATTTTTAGACATAAAGTTGAAAAATTTGTCATTATTTGATAAAGATCAACAAGAAAATCCAGCTGCCAATGTTTTTGACTCTTGTAAGAGTAGAAGCAGTCATTTTTTGAGTTCAGCAGTTGTATTTTGTTGCTGATGAAGAGGAATAATAGCAGTAAATAGATAATAAATACATTTTTCTTCAACTGTTACATTGTAAGGATGTAAGGAATCTAAAAAATGAGCAATTTATCATCAAAAAAGTTGAAAAGATAGCGCAGGAAACCATGCAAAATTTAAAAAGAAGTTGTGTCATAATTTTGAGACAGCCGGTAGACATCCGACTAGAATCATGGTTCTGGATCTAGACTTTAAAGTATTTTCCTGTTCTATTCTTGTTTTACTAACTTGTTTTACTATTTTCCTTCAAATCTAAACGTACACATTGATCATCGAATGTCTGCTTGGGTATCCGAACCGAGCATCCCCGATTTGCCACTCCATACGAGAAAGCGTCGATCGTTTCGGTTTCATGTGCTCCTGTTAGTCTAAATGCAAAATTTAGATAAGTTTTTATAAACTTAGTCATTCATCTTGCAGTAAATTTAAGCATTCTGATTCTAACAGATTAAAAAATATATTTGTTCACCTGGAGAATTGAACCCTTGACCTCCCGACTAACAAGGGAGGCCTAAGCCTAAGCCTAAGCCTAAGCCTAAGCCCGACTAACCGGCTGAGCCGGTTATGCAACCTATACAACCCGACGCAGAGTTTTATGCTGATTCTGAATATAAATACCGTTTTTGCTAAATAGCAATCTGCCAGAAGTTATGAGCGTCTAAAGTTTTGTGGTCGAAAATGTGGTCATTTAGGTCTTAGTGGGCTCCTTGCGAGTCTGATTCGAATGGTACAGCGTTCGTTCCGAGAGTGAGAGGGATCTCACAGGTTCGATCCCCACTTTCCGTTTCTCTTTTGTTTCTTTCAAGAAGCGCTGACTAGTGTTCTTCGCGCATATTTCTTGTTGGAAAAAACATCTTCAAAAATGAAACCAAGTAGCTCAGCCTGTAAGATACAGAACTTTTAGCCAGTCGGTGCAATGTTTCCTATCCTTTACTCACCTTCTTTCATTATCCCGTCCTCCGTGTGGATCGTAGTAAGCAATGTGTTGATGGTGGACCTCCGAGAGCTTCAGAATCGCTTTCTCGATTGCACTAAAGCCAAGATATTGTTTAAGCTTAACTCTATGACTTTCTAGTTAAAACTAACTTATAACCCCCAGGCTCTCTCATCTCTTTGGTGCTGAAGTTGCAGTGACATCCAGCTCCATTCCAATCTCCGAGAATCGGCTTTGGATCCAATGTCGCCACCACACCGAAGTCCTCACAAACTCTATAAGTGAAATTAGATCAATTCTAGCTTGTTTTGCCTTTAAACTGTAAATAGCTTTGAAATGAGCTTACCGATGAAGGATGAATCTTGCAACAATTAGTTGATCGCCGGCCTCAATTCCTTCACAGGGTCCAACTTGGAATTCCCACTGAATCAGAAGTTAAACCACTAAATTTACAGGCTAAACCTGGGCTGGCATTGTCTCAGCATTTGTTCCAGAGATTCGGATTCCAGCGTACATGCCTGAAATATTGTAAGTAATGATTCAAAAGTAAGAAAAGTAAAGTAAATAGGCTTTAGTGAATCGTTGAAAGTTTATAATCTTTATAAGTTTATTCATATAGACAAAACTTTAACAGATAAATTTAAGAATGTTATAAGAAACTTGAGCACTTTAAAACTGATAAGACATGATTTTGTTCTGTCTTTTCAAGACAATTGCTACACTACTGGACAATGAAATATCATATTTGAAAAACGATCGTCACTTTCGCGCGTCTGTAACTCCCTTATCTTTACCATATTTCTAAATATCAATATTACCATTGTGTAGCCCTTGAAAAGAGCTTTCAGAAAATGTATAACACTAATAGTTTAAACGCAAAGACAACGGATTTACAGGCGCGCGAAAGTGACGATCGTTTTTCCAATATGATATCATTATCCAATATCATTGTCCAGTACTGTAGATCATCAAGAACTCACAAGCTCTGTAGTGTGCCTCAACCACTTCTCGTCCATACACTTTATCCGCTCCAACACCACAGTAGTAGGGTCCTAAAGATGAGTAAAGGTAAAGAGGAAATACGTTTCCGAAAATTCACAGTTCCGTTGCAGACAAAGAGTGTGTAAAAGACGATCATGTACCACTTACTGATCATTATTTGTGCGGGGTTCCTTTTTGGCGGATCGACAACGGTGGCACGAATTTTGTGCTCTACAAAAAGGTTCATGCTAGTTTGAGGTTTCGTTTTAAGCTCTACAGGTTCCGAAGTTTTAACATGTACACGGCAAACAACATAAATTTTGATTCACTAATGAATTTGGCTCCAATTGTGGGACATTTGATATGCCATTGGCCCTTTGGCATTGGCATAACTTTAAACTCAAATTTCTTGGTGCTGAGGTGTCCAATTTAAATAGTTTTTGTACTAATCGACAGAGAAAGACCTGACGCATCGAATGATCTCAAAGATATTGAAATTGAACACCCCAACACCAAGAAATTTGAGCTCAAAGTTAGATTGCCAATGGCAAAATGGACGAGATCAGATGACCTTTCATATGCGCCCCCTTTGCCATTGGCAATCTAACCTTGAGCGGAAATATCTTGGCGTTGAACTGTCAATGGCAAAAGGGGCGGGGCTTACCAGATAACCGCTCCACGCTCCACCCCTTTTCCATTGGCAATCTAACTTTGAACTCAAATATCTTGATATTGGGCTGTCCAATTTAAATCGTTTTTCTACCAATCGACAGAAAAAGACTTGGTGCATCTAATGATATCAAGAATAATGAAATTGGACAGCCCAATACCAAGAAATTTCAACTCAAAGTTGGATTCTATTGGCAAAAGGGAGGGGCTTATCAAATGTCTGATAACCTTTGGCTTCGGCTCAACAGACTCAAACAATGATAGATAAAGTTCAGTTATAGACAAACGCAATCAAATTATTCACCTTGTGGAGCAGGATATCCCAATTTTGGCCATCCATATGGGTGTCTGTCCAAATCGAGTAGAGTGTACTCTTGCTCGAGACCGAACCACGGAACTTGATCCTTCGCCTTTTCCATGTACTCGAGACATTTACGGCGATTGTTTGTTGCTGAAATTGAATCGATGAGCTTGTTCTAACTAGGTTTTGGTACTGTCTGGCTGCGTTAAAAAGCAGAACTTTACTCACGTGTTGGCTCATACTGTCGATCGAGTGTCTCACAGAGCACAAGCTTGTTGGGTCCTGGTCGGAAAGGGTCCCTGAAAAGTTTTTAATATTCTTAAAAGCTAGAACATTGGCATAAAGCTTCGTACTTAAGTTTTGACTATTAGTAAAACCATAACAAATAAATTGTTCATGAACATATTATTGACCTGAACAAAGCGATGGGTCGAATGAAAACGTCACTTTCATCACCGGTCGCTTGACCAGTCGACGTTCCGTCGAAATTCCAAATCGGTAACTCTGGAAGGAGCTATGCTTGAACTTTACTCGATCAGGATATTAATAGTGAGCCTAAGCCTAAGCCTAAGCCAAGCCTGAGCCTAAGTCTAAGCCAGAGTCTAAGTCTAAGCCGAAGTCTAAGCCTAAGCCTAAGCCAAGCCTGAGCCTAAGCCTAAGCCTGAGCCTAAGTCTAAGCCTAAGTCTAAGCCTAAGCCTAAGCCAAGCCTGAGCCTAAGCCTAAGCCTGAGCCTAAGTCTAAGCCTAAGTCTAAGCCTAAGCCTAAGCCTGAGCAAACACTTTTATTTAATAATTTTCAAACTCACGATCCGGGCTTGTCGGCTCAAAGTCGAAAGTCTTCGATTTGCACCGGAGAAACTCTCCTGTTCCGTCGATCCAAATATATTTTACCTAAAAACAGAATGATAAGCGAGATGATTTCAACAACCTGAACCAATCCATTTTGATCTAAATCTCGATACTTGTCCATAATCGAGCTTGTCGCCGAGATTTCTAAATGATATAGCTAATAGGTTAAATTTCAAAGATTTAAGCTCACTTTCATACTTTCGTTTGAGACTTTTGCTGCCGTTTGACATGTTGGAGATCTGTAATTGAAAGCATTGATTTTGAATTGAAAAATGAAAGCAAAATCCGGCAATAGTTTTCGGCAATAGTTTTCAGAAATAATTGTAAACAAAATAGTTTAGAGTTCAAATTTCTAGACGATTTTCAGACCATTTCTAGACGATTTCTAGACGATTTCTAGACCATTATAGTAAACGCAAACTTTCCTATTGCACTATTACTCCAAATTTCTTTCATGAGAAATCGGAGAGTGAGCGAATAAAAATAAATCAAACTTGGGAAAATGGCTCAGTGAGAGGAGAAGGGAAATGGATCAGAAAAAAAGGTTTTTTGGCTCAAAAAGAATGATCTGGAGGTCAAAATGTTTCCGAAAACGATTTTTCGACGGTTTTAGTACCCGAAAAAAAAGGTAAAAAAGGTAAAAAAGAAAATCTTTGAGAATTTTAGAAAACCGCGGAGAAAAACCGACGGTTGACGTAATGCTGGGTGGAAAAGAAAAGGAGAGAAAGGGGAAATGGAGAGGAAAAGTTGGGAGAATTTGTGTCTTGATGAGGAGATCAGAGTACATTTTGCAAACTGCTAAACGTTTTTGGAGCTATTGAACTTTAAAGTTTAATGTTTAATTTGATACTTTTACATAACAAAAAGCTTATAAAATTTGACGAATAAATACCTAAAAAGTTTGAGAGCTTATACAGTAACTTTACAGTAACTTTATAGCCAGTAAGAGTATTATATTTCTCCTGTAAACGCCTGGTATCTGGCACACTAGATCAATACCTACCGTAAATACCGTAATAGTATCTCACCCCCATAATGACGGTGCGGAGCGTTGCGTAGTCTAGCTTTGAACGAGTTTTTCTCGACACTGGTTTATGCTACAAGGCGAGCTTAGGTATCAAAAAATAGCTGAAATTCAGGGCTATTTTTTGTTACCAAAAACGCATTTTTGAAAGTACGGGCGCTTTGAAAAATACTAAAAAACTTCTGCGACTAGCGACGACGCGACTGTACGAGGGCGCTGGGGTACTATTACAGTATTTACAGTATATCCTAATTTGACCTTTCAATTCTGATCAAAATTAAGAATTCATCTTTGAATAGAGATTTAACGGAGATTAACACATTCACGACGAGATTTTTTGATTTTTGTATAACTTATTTCCCTTCCAACTCGTTTAAAAACATTTATTCAGTCTAGATTGGGTATTCAGTCTAGATTAACTGGATTACGGTATTTAGTCTAGATTTAGGTATTCAGTCTAGATTAACAGGATTACGGTATCGAAAAACGCGTTTTTGAAAAGCCAGAAATACACACCTTCCCTTGCATGCCCTGAAATTCGTCAAAAATTAAATTCAATTAAAAAACAAATATGCCATCTTAAAGAGCACATTTCAAGCTTTCAGAATCACTATAACACTAATAGGTGGCAGTGGACAATTCTCAAGTTACGGCGCTTTAAAGTTGAGGTAAAATTCGATGTTTTTAATACTATTTTTTTTGGATTTTTGTGTAACTTATTTCCCTTCCAACTCGTCTAAAAATATTCACAGACAACCGATTTGCTTAAATTAAGGATCAAAATGAAGAGAAATGTTTGAGGATCATTTATGTAAAACCAGATTAAAGAAATATTCAGTCTGAAGAAAATTTAGAATGTTTTATCATAAGAAATTTCCGGAAATTTCATTCAAAGGTTGATATATAGATATTCAAAGGTTCAGAACTCTCTTCAAACTCAATATTTCTTTAATCTCTTTTGTGATAAATGATCCTCAAACATTTCTCTTCATTTTGAATCTTAATTTAAGTAAATCGGTTGTCTGTGAATATTTTTAGACGAGTTGGAAGGGAAATAAGTTACACAAAAATCAAAAAAACCTCGTCGTAAATGTGTTAAAATAAATAAGTTGAATAAATAAATAAGAAAATAAGTTGAATCGGATTGAAAACAAATATCGATAGAACTTCTTAAAGTAGATAAACTTTCTATTCAAAGCTAAACCCAAAGCAAATATCAAATATAGCTTTGAGAAAGTTTATTTAGCTCTATTAAACTTCCGCTATTAAACTTCTATAGGACTCTATTGAACTATATGATTAGCTCTATTAAATTTCTATAAGACTTTTAAAGTTATCAGTAGCATTCAACTAAAATAAGTTAAATGTTTTGTTCACAAGGTTACTTTGAACTCTCAAATAATAACAAACAAGTTGTGAAAAGTATTGAGGGGAAAATGGCAAAAAAAAACTTCAAAAAATGCAAAAAGAGGCAATGAACGAATGAAAATCGATTGCACCCAGGGAAAAGAGGGAAAAGAAAAAGAGAGGGGAATGGGTTAAACAAGAATTCTCACCAATCCCTTCTCTTCAATGTACTCAAATCTCGATACTGATAATATCTGCCTAATAATTGGACTGATAATGCACTCTAGGGTTTTAATAGGAAAAATGAGATCTTGAAAGGATTGAAAAACAGGATTTTCGGTTTAATTGTCTGATTTTCAACCTTAACTGAAGATTCTTTTAATAAAAATGCTTCAAATGGTTAAAATGAATGGAGTTTTTTCTAGAAATGTACCCAGAAACTGCTTGATGCTTATTTTAATAGCTAATCAAGTTATCAAGGTGAAAATTCTGAGTTTCTGAGAATTCAATTACGAGGCAGATACAAGTGGACACAGTTTAATTCCCCTCAAATAAATGGCTTCTTTTTATCATCAAATTGACCAGAGATTACATTTATCTGTGAATGAGAAGAAGAAACTTTGGAAAAAGTCATCTTTGTGCTTGATTTAGCAAATTTAAACGACAACTTTTTGATAAATTGATACAAAACTTTTTAATGAGTAGCTATTTGTTAAGAATATTGTAAGTTATTGGTTCAATTACTCACTGATCTTGCTCTTGTTCTTGATGATAGTTCTTGATTCATTAATTGACTACAAAACACAGTAAAACCTCGATAACAAAAAGCTTAAAGGATTTCAAAAAAACCTTTTTGTTATTAAGGTTTTTTGGTATTGAAATTTTGCCTCATAAGGCTACGAAGTGCCCTAAAAAGTGCCCTAAACTAAGAAGGCACTAAGAAGTGCCCTAAACTGTTCTAACAGCTCTAACTGTTAAAAAACTGATAACAACTTTTAGCTGATACCAATACAGAACGCAAAATCTTCAAGCAAACAAGTTACACAAAAACAAACAAAATCTTCAATCAAACAAACGACAACAATTGACGCAAAGAGCTACATTCCTGTATTGGTATAATATTGGGTTGTCCAGTTATGAATGCGCGTTTTTTACTATTTTGTAAATTTCCCAAGATACCGAAATCAAGAAAAAGATTTATATGAGTATTATTCGAAAGCTGAAGATCTCCTCTACATCTTGATATAAAAGGTTTTTGAATTTGTTCAGCTTTTGGGCAAATTGACTGCACAGAAGAAGAGGTGGCCAAAAAATGGAAGGGAGCCTTTGGATCAAGTTTTGGCTCCGCTCAAATTGAGTTAACCGTTTGATGTTTGGCTAATAGATATATCAATACAACTTTTTTAAAATATAACAATTTCAGAGCATCTTTACTTTTCTTTTCTTTTCTGGGCGGTTATTTTACACCATAAAACTTGAGGAATAGCTAGGCTGAGATGAGTTTTTTTTTGAAAACGACCTCTCCCTTTGTGCAGTCAATTTCCCAAAAAGTTGAATGAATTCGAAATTTTTTTTATTCCAAAATGTAGAGGAGATCTTCAGCTTTCGAATGATATCTAACACTCATATACATCTGTTCGATATCTTGAGAAATTTACAAAATAGTAAAAACGCGCATCCATAACTGGACAACCCAATATATATGCTTTATTAAGTCGAATAGCGACAAAACAAGATCACAATAATCACCCAGGATACCACTCCTGGGTGATACCACTCAAAACACACCCAAAAGATAAAAAGATACCTCAAGTAAGAATCACAGAGCAGTCAAATCAATTGCCGAAATTGCCGCTTTAAGCTAAATCAGCTGGTATCAGCTAAAAGTTGTGCAAAGTGCTTGTTGTGCCACAAAACAGAAATAAGAAGAGTTAAAATACTGAAACTTCACGTATTACAATACACAAAGAAGTGCAAAAGATTGGAAAAAGATTGGATAAAGAGAAGTATTGAAATTTTGATCTTATCGTTTCTTGATAATGGAATAAATGAGCTTTACCAATTCTTGAAAGAACAACTAAAGAAATTTAAAATAGTGAAAGTTCGAGAGTTGTTTCAATGAGCATACGATTGCTCGTTTCTGTCGATGTTTGCGAAAAAATGATATGTGAAAAGGAAAAGGGAAAGAAATGAAAGGAAAACGAACAAAATGCCTCTTTGATCTCTTGGCTTTTGAAATTTGGTTTTCTTTTCCTCTTTGCCGTTTTTGAACCGCTTGTTTTTGTGCAAAATGGTTGGAAAAAGATTGGATAAAGAGAAGTATTTGAACTTTGATCTTATTGTTTCTTGATAATGGAATAAATGAGCTTTAAATGACCAAGGAAATCTAAGAATACCAGGAAAGAAATCTAAGACCAAGGAAAGGAAGAATAAATGACCAAGGAAATCTAAAATAGTGAAAGACTATGCGTAAGATTGTATTTTATTACTAATTATTGCTCATTTTATTTCTTTATTGTATAGTTAACTCCCTCTGGAGTAAGGGAATCACGGGCGCTGTGGTTAGCTAAGGCTAAGCCTAAGCCTAAGCCTTGAAGGTTAGCATTTGCCTGGTAAGCGAAAGGTCGCAGAATTTCAAAACCTCTTTTTGAAAAAAGAGGCAGACAGAAAAGGGGAAAATGTGATGTGAAAAGGAAATGGAAAAGCGGCGTTTTGATAGCTGAAAATCGTCAAAATCAAACTAGAACATAGTGAGGTGAATATTTTGAAAATCAAATAATTTGAAGTAATGAGACAAACATAGTCATTATCGACTAACTATTAGGTTGATGCATAAGTCTTTTTTGTTCCTTTTCGTCT